GCAAAGCTCGGCTCGAGATCGAGCTCGAATTATTTAACTTGTCCAAGCTCGAGATCGAGCTCGGGCTTGTAAATTCTTATCAAGCTCAAGCTCAAGCATACCCATGCTCGGGCTCGGCTCGGCTCGTTTACACCCCTACCCAGAAGGGAGGATAAACCCAAAAAGAATCCAGCAGAGCAGAACAATCCCGAACAGGTATTCATCAGCTGGTAAGGATGTCGTTCGGTGTGTTCCGAACGGGCCATATTTCATACTTGGCGGATAAATAATGACATTCTTGTCTATTGGCTTCCTGGGCCCAGGGCCCGATCGAGAGACCTTGCAACTTATGTTCAGTTTTTATACTAAAGTGACTACTTTGAATACATTTTATTCATTAATGTGCAAGATTTTTTAAAAAAAAATATTGCATTGTTAAGCGTGAAAATGATAATTTGCAACTAAAAAAGAAGTAATATATGAAACATATTTTTGATAGAGTACACGTTTTATTTATTTACCAAAAAGCTGAAATAAAACCTTAAACATTTGTGAGAGCAATCTACAAATTAAAAAAATCCAAAACAGTAGAGAACTTTTTATTTATCAAAGAGTAAAATGCATAAATAGTCCCTAAACTATCAGCATCATATCATTTTGGTCCTTGAAGTAATAATTCTACCATTTTAGTCCCTAATCTATTTAATCTATATTAATTCGGTCCTTCTGTTAGTATTTTGACGTTAGACAAACGGAATCTGCTAAGTTAGTGCATGTATTTGTAAATCAACATACTTATTAGACAAAATATAATTTATAAATTTCCTGATTTAATATCTAAATAAATTAGAATGAAAATCACTATCAAATCATAATATAACGCATTGGATGTTTTTATTTGGACTGAAATTTTCTGGTCTGATCTAGTCTGGTATAAAGTGGTTTGGTCTGGTAAAAGTCTGGTCTCTGTGTATTTTATAATTTTCCAAATCTTATCTAGTCTGATCTGGTCTGGGACTAAAGAGTCCAATTAAAAACATTCTTATATACATATTCCTTATACGAATTAATATTGTTTAAGTTTTCAATTAAAGTATAACATACTAGATATTGTTTATAAAAATTTCGAAGTCTTTATATATGTGTGTGTATAATCACTTATTCATTCATCTATGACATAATAATTATGAATATGTGTGTGTCAAGAGATACTCTAATTAAAAATTTATTTATTAAGCTATTATATAGTATATTGATCTAATTTCAATCAATTTTTTATTAATCACACTAATTTAGGAATTTTCCTTGTTAAATACTACGTATAAATATTACCACTATGCAATAAGATTTTCCTACTATGCAACTAAAACTAAAGTTTTCATCCCATTCATACATAACACGTTTTTTTACTCCAGTGGGTCTGGGGGGAGGGGGTCTGGAGTAATCAGGGCTGAAACCCATTCCATTGAGTTTCAAACCCTTGCCTAGCGGGATTCAAACTCGAAACCTCCCACTAGGCACAATAACCTCACAACCAGCTGGGCTGGAATTAGGGGTGGACTCGGGCCGGGCCAACCGGCCCGGAACCGGACCGGCCCGCTACTGTGCGGGCCCGGACCGGCCCGGTCAACCGGTTGGTGCACCGGTTCGGGCCACCCGGCCCGGTGGGATGGCGGTCCGGGCTCGGGCCCTGATTTTGGTGAACCGGCCCGGCCGGTTCGGGCCCGGTCCGGGCTGGATTTTAATTTTTTTTTTTTTGAAATTTTTTTAAGTTTTGGATTGGATTAGGTATTTTGGGCCATTTGAGGTGGTTTGGGGTTGAGGGGGGAGGGGGTTAAAAAGGAGAACCAAAAAAAAAAAAGACCGGTTGGCCCGGCCCGGCCCGGTTTGGCCCGGAACCGGAACCGCCCACCGGCGGTTCGGGCCCGGGCCCTAGTTTTCTGGCACGAGGCCCGGCCGGGCCCAGGCCCGAACCGGGCCCAGGCCCGAACCGGCCCGAGTCCACCCCTAGCTGGAATGCTTGGTTGCATACATAACACGTTAAGTAATCTTTATTTTTGCATATGCAATCAGAATATGGTGGAAAACAAAATAAAAAACTAGAGTCCAAAGAAATGAAAAAATATTTTGTTAATTTATGAAACATGTAATAACTTCATAAATACTAATAATTAATGATTAAGTACAGAGAGTATGGTGGAAAATCACATAAAAAAGTGTTTAGAGTCAAAGAGATGAAAAAAATTTGTCTTGATTGGTGAAGCATTTAATAAGTCTATAAACCGCAATAATTAAAAATTATGTAAGTATTTAATTAATAGTTACAATGTATAAATAACACATTAAAATGAATTAAATATAAATATAATAGTTGAAAAATAGAAATGTAAAAAAATCAAATTTCATTTGGACACATGAAAATTAGGGATGGACCCGGTTCGGGCCGGGCCCGGTTCGGGCCGTGAACCGGCCGGGCCTCGGTTCAAGGTTTGGGAGGCCCGGAACCGGCCCGGGTAACCCCGGGTCCGGTTCGGGCCGGGCCGCCCGCCCGGTTCACGGGCCGGGCCCGGTTCGGGCCGGTCCTTTTAATTTTTTTTTATGTATATATTATATTATTATAATAATTGTTATTAAAAACAAAATTCAAGTGCATGATGTTGAAATAGGAAGTACATTTGAGAATTGAGGAAAATGTTTGACATATTGTGTATAATTTACTTAGAAAAGTGATTTGATTTAGAAAAGTGTAAGGAAAGTGATATGATTTAGAAAATTATACATATTGTGTAAGGAAAATGTTTTTAATTTTTTAATTAAGTAAAACTATTTTTACTTAGAAAAGTGATTTGATTTATAATTTACAAATGTTACAAAATAGGTGTATAAGTTGTAAGTTGTAAGTTTGTAACAAATTAATTAATTTACATATTAATATTACATATTTTAATTTAAAAACAGCCTTTACATTTTACAAAAAAAAAATTCAAGTTGTAAGTTATAAGTTTGTAACCAATTAATTAATTTGAGAAGTGCTACATATGAAGTACAAGTTTACAAATTAATTTTATTGAATTGAATTATTGAATTGATGTATACAATAATATAAAATAATTCAAGTATTTTTATTTCAAACAAGTACAATTGAGAATTAGGATGCATTTAAGAAATGTAATAAATTTTGAAATAAAAAATCAATCGGAATCTCCGCCTTCGGTGGTTGTTTCCTCCATAAAGTGGCGGGTGGGAGCGATGGTCATTTCTTGAGTTCTTCGTTTGGCCTTCAACCAATCATGGAAGCAAACTAGCGTCTCAAGAGAGCTCGGGCTCAACCTCGTTCTATAATCGGTTAGGACGTTGCCGGCCGCACTAAATTCTTGTTCCACGGCAACTGTTGATATCGGCATTGCTAGCACTTGCTTAGCCAGTTTTGATAAAACCGGGAACGTTCTTTCATTGTCCTTCCACCACTTAAGAACGTCAAAATCATCCCCAACTTCATAATCAACATTCAATGTTAGATAGATAGAAAGCTCGTTAACTGAGCTTTGTTCAGTAGCGGGAGTTGCTCTACTTTTTTTCATAAGAGAACCAAATGCAGATTTTAAAAGTGATTTTCCTTTAGATGAAGAAGATGTTCGCGGCATGGGAGGGGGTGCATTACCATATTGTGCATAAAATTCATTATACAATTGATGAAATAAATTACTAACCTCGTTGTATTCTTGTTTAGGGTCGATGGGATTATCATCGAACTCTTGAGTTGGAAAAAAACAATTATAATAGTAATCTATACAACTTGGCAACGCGGCAAGTCTATAACGAGGATCAAGAACAAATGCAATACCATATATATGCGGAACATGTGAATAATATTTTAAAAATTTTTGTTTCATGAAATCACAAAAATAACTAACGTAAGCGGCATCGGAAAATTCTAAAAATGCGCCGGCGAGATTAACAGCTTCAACAAAAAACTCGTTTGCGGTAGGTTTATAAACATGACTAAAAGTTTGAGTTGCGTTATTAAAATATACCAAAACATTAACAATTTTTTCACAAGTGTCGATGTCAGCCGGGTTTATAATATAGTTACAAGTTTGTCTTAAAAAAGCAGGAAAATGTTCTTTATATCTAATAAGTACTTGAATTAAGTTATAAGTACTATTCCAACGAATAGACAAATCTTTAGGAAAAGCACAATAATTGACACGTCTTTCCTTCAAATATTGTCGCCATTGCATTTTTAGTGGAGTGTTAGCCCAAATCAATTTAATTCCCCCCTTCACTACCTCCAAAGCATTTCCTAATGCCGCTAATCCATCTTGTACACACAAATTTAGAATATGACATGCACAACGTTGATGAAAAAACCTACCCATCAATGTAGAAGCACCACACAATTCACACAATCTAGGTATAGCAGCAGTATTATTACTAGCATTATCAAAACCTACAGCAAACACCTTATCAAGCAAATTATACTCAATTAAAATACGCTCAATGAGAATATAAATATTATCAGCAGTATGACGATCATTGAATTCACGAAATGCAAGAACACGTTTATGCATATTCCAATCATCATCAATATAATGTGCAGTAAGACCCAAATAATATAAATGATGATAAGTATCCTCCCATATATCGCTACAAATACTAACACGTCCATTAAAGTTTGCGAAAAATGTTTGTAAATTTTCTTTTTCGAAGTTATATTGCCTTATAACTTCTTTTTTAATCGTTTTGCGACTATAATTTCTAAATTGAGGATTTAAAGTGCCTTGAGCATAATCTCTTAAAGCAAGACTTTCGGAAAAAATATAGGGTAAATTTTCTTCAACAATTAAATGAGACATACCAGTCAAATGTTTTTGATCATCATAGGAGAAATTACCAAAGGGTTGAGAATTTGCAAACCTCGATATTTGTGTTTGCTTCCCCTTGCCCTTGTCTATTTTCGCATACTCCACAAGATGGGCGGACTTAAGATGCCTTGTGGGACTCCCGTATCCGCCAGAAGTTCCCAAGCTATACTCTTTGCCGCAATGATTGCAACTTGCGTACCATTTTTCGGTATTTTTGTCTTTCCTTTTTGTAAAATTGTTTTCAATAATAGGAGATTTAGATTTCTTACCAGTTTGGGTTGAACCGCCCTCGTCCTCCAAGTCTTGCTCATCATCTGGGGTGCCGTGAGTCCCGTCGCCCCCCGCATCCTCCTCCGCATCGTCATCCTCGAGCTCCTCTTCATCAATGGTTGTCGGGATGGGTTGTTCTTGTGCAAAGCGTGGATCGTTTTGGGACAATAGGTTTTGTAGATGCTCGTCGGACATCATCATATCATCTCTCCGTTGGTAATCCGTTTCAAAATCATCTCGACTTTGAAAAGAAGACTCGGCCCGCGCTTTACCTTTGCCTTTGCGTGAATTAGGACGAGTCGACGCAATCTCCCTCTTGCGGTTGCGTTGGAGATTACCCACATCTACAGAATGTCTACCACGTTCCATCTTTAAATTGAACAAATATTAAATGATATCAAATATTTTATATGAGTACAATTTTTTTTTTTTTTTTTTTTGATAGAAAAGAGAATTTTATTGATAGAAGAAAATAGTACAATGCGAGAAAGGAAGTAGGAAAAAAGGTACATGAAAATAACGGAAACAAAAATAAAAACTACTCCCAAGGAAAATCTCTTGACTGAGATCTAGTCCTCATGCTGTGGCGTCTTTTATTCTTTTGAGATTTTCTGTATATCTTGAGTTGTGTATTCAAATTGTCAGTTGGCAAACAATTTTCCGAGGTTACAGAATTAGCTTTGCGGCAAATTGCACTGTTAAATTTGGATTTCCTGATTTCATTTGGGTATGAAATAGGAGGACGACGATCGCTTTCAGTTGCATGTCCTAGAAAGTCGTCTGTGTAAAAAGAGTCATCAGAATAATCAAAGTTGTCGGATGCGTCTGAGTAAGCCTGGTTCTGTGGCATCTGGGGTGTTATGGCTTGCTTCTCAGAAGAGTGGAGTGGTTCTGTCACAACATAAGCTCTTTGTACTTCAAAATTGAATATGAGCTTGGATATGGTTTCCTCAATGCCGGTCAAAGGCTCATTTTCCAAATGCATTGGTATCTCCTGTATCAAATTGGTTAGTCCCACAAAATTAGAGAAAATTGCCAAGAAATCTTTGAGGTTGGAATTGTGTGGGCCCATAGGGATTAAAATGGAGCTCCCCTTTTCTTTAGAAATTTTCAGCCATCTCCCTGATTTGTTGATACCCGAAGAAACAGTGATAAGTCCAAATCTCCTTTTCTGCCTATAATTAGGATGATTAGCTCTTGTGAGTTGGAAAATGAACCGAATGATATGAGGAGCTAGGTCAAAATCGAAATCAATCTTGCACAATATAGATTTATTGATTTCGAAAATGATAATATCCTGATTGGTGACTGCGAATTTAAAGACTTTAGATTCAATTTTAATTGAATCAAACCCTTCTTCTCCATAGAAGTAGAAAGTTTCTAGTTCATCGGCTGTAACTAACGCATCCTTTGGGCTCAGTTGAGTAATCCTTTTACAAGGTGAGCTGTCCACTGAAATTAAATTGTTGCCTGTGGCTGGTGCACCAAAGATACTTTTGTCGTTGTCTGATCTTAGTAGATCAGCCCATGTGAAGGAAAGGGTGTCTTTGTTTGGCTTATTCCCTGTGACGTGACTCGTACTTTGTACCTGTGACGCCATGGCTCCCGTTCTATGAGAAGAGGCTGACTTGCTAGCACAATGTTCCAGCGACAATGAAGTTGTCGGCGTAGGCATCGCCGGTACTGTCGAACTATGAAATGTGACTAAGAAAACTATTGCGAATTCGAACTAAAATATGAGTATACAAATCGAACTACTTCTAATTAATACTTTAATGAGAAATGTATCAATTAACTAAATATTAACTAGTTTGACTAATATAAATATGAGAAATGTAAAAATTAACTAGTTTTTTTTTTACTTTAATGAGCAATGTACAAATTAACTAATATTAATATGAGAAATGTAACAATTAGGTAGTTTAACTAATATTAATATGACAAATTTAACAATTAACTACTTTAGGTAGTTTTTAAAATGACAAATGTAAAAATTTACTAGTTATTTTTACCTTAATGAGAAATGTATACTTTAACTAATATTAATATGACAAATGTAAAAATGTACTACTTTTTTTACTTTAATGAGAAATGTAGCAAGTAACTAATATTAATATGAAAAATGTACCAATTAAGTAGTTTAACTAATATTATTATGACAAATGTAAAACTTAACTAGTTTTTTTTTTTACTTTAATGAGCAATGTATGAAATAACTAATTTTAATATGACAAATGAAACAATTAAGTACTTTAACTAATTGAAATATGAAAAATGTAAAAATATACTACTTTAACTATTTTTTTCTTTAAAGAGAAATGTAGAGAAATGTAGAGAAATGTAACAATTAACTAATTTAATAGATAAATTAGAAGTCTAACAATTAACTACTATTATAAGTAATATATAATATAATGTTTATAGTATATAATATATAAGTATATTACTATAAGATGAGTAATACACTTATACTTAATACTTTAATATATATATATATATAAGTATATATTAACTAAATGTAATATGTAAATATAAGTAAATAACAATAGTATGTATAAAAACTAAATATCAAATAAATATGAATGTGTATAAGTATATATAGTATATATAATGTGTAAATATATTATAAGTAATATATAATATAATGTTTATAGTATATAATATATAAGTATATTACTATAAGATGAGTAATACACTTATACTTAATACTTTAATATATATATATATATATATATATATATATATATATATATATATATATATATATATATATATAAGTATATATTAACTAAATGTAATATGTAAATATAAGTAAATAACAATAGTATGGATAATAACTAAATATCAAGTGAATATGAATGTGTATAGTATATATACTTATATAGTATATATAATGTGTAAAGAATTATAATATGAATGTGTATAAGTATATATTTTTAAATAGATAATTAATATATAAGTAGATATAATAATTATATAAATTATATATATGTAGAAAGAATTTGGAGAAGATGAAGAATGAAGATGATTGAATATGAGAGATTTAGAGTAGAGAATTAGAGAGTAGGAAGAGTTGTAGAAGAAGAGATGTAAAAAGTGTAGAGAAAATAGGAGTTTAAATAGTTTTTTTTTTCTACCCCACCCCCACCCCCCACCCGACCCCCCACCCCACCCCCTAACCCCCCAGACCCCCCTCCTATGCTCCCAACGGCTATAGAGCCGTTTGGGAGCCTTCCCAACGGCTAGGAGGAGCCTCTTCCAATTTAAAAAAAAAAAAATTTAAAAAAATTTGGTCGTTGGAGGCCCGAACCGGGCCCGGCCCGGCCGGGCCGGTTCACTAAAATGGAGGCCCGGGCCCGGACCGCTATACCACCGGGCCGGGTGGCCCGAACCGGTCAAGAACCGGGTGACCGGGCCGGTCCGGGCCCGCACAGTAGCGGGCCGGTCCGGTTCCGGGCCGGTTGGCCCGGCCCAAGTCCATCCCTAATGAAAATAAAGATATAATGATGTAATATTCTGAAACTAGATTAGCTACTAAAAAATTACTAATATTTGTGTAGTTCCGTATTGTGTAAAATTAGGATATCACATTTGCTCTACCGTCAATTTAAACGGAAAGAATCAACGGACGGAAGGACTTGATTAATATGGATCAAATAGATTAAGGACTAAAATGATAAATTTAATAGTTTAAGGACCAAAATGATATAATGCTGATAGTTTAGGGACCATTTAGGCATTTTACTCTTTATCAAAATGCCTCAATTTTTAAACAAACCAAATGGAAAAACACTCCGAGTATCTATGGATATGCATCTTCGTTTCAGCTAGGGGTGGACCGGTTCCGGTTCGGGCCCGGTTCGGGCCTGGGCCCGGCCGGGCCTCGGTTCAGAAAAAGGAGGCCCGAGCCCGAACCGGTGGTGGGCGGTTCCGGTTCCGGTTCCGGGCCAGAACCGGGCCGGGCCACCCGGAATGTTTTTTTTTTTTCTTCTTCTTCTCTTATTTAACCCCCTACCCCTCCCCCTCCACCCCAAACCACCCCAAACCACCTCAAATGGCCCAAAATACCTAATCCAACCCAAAACTTAAAAAAATTTCAAAAAAAAAAAAAATTAAATTCCGGCCCGAACCGGGCCCGGCCCAGCCGGGCCGGTTCACTAAACTGGAGGCCCGGGCCCGGACCGGTATACCACCGGGCCGGTCCGGGCCCGCACAGTAGCGGGCCGGTCCGGTTCCGGGCCGGTTGGCCCGGCCCGAGTCCATCCCTAGTTTCAGCTGTTTTTTCAAGAATAAAGAGTTCTTGATAGATTGTCAGTTGTCACATATCTAAGGAACCAACATGTAGAAGAACCTTGAAAGAAATACATTTATACATAAAATTCTCCCCAAATGAAGGAAATAAAACAGATGAGGCTCATATAGTTATAGCAAGGTATATCAGGTATTCAGTCGCACAATATAATATAATATATCCCTTGAAAATTTTGTGTGTATATGTATATTAGTAAAAACAGGAACGCAATGAGAGGAACATTTTGAGATGACCGATCATTATACATTAATAGGTCTTCGCGAATCAGTAAAAACAAGAACGCACATGGTAATATTGCTTCTCTCTTTTCAGGCTTTAAGTCCATCCATTCCAACACTGGCCTGTGCATAAGAGTGAAATTATGTAAATAACCATTTGATGTTAAACCAAGGTTATGGACTTACGGTTGAACAAACTGATAATAACGTAACTAAGAGCGGATAACTTTTAGAGATTCACTTGTAGCTGGAGAAATAACTAAACAATACCAACTATCACCAAGAATTAGCACTAATAATGATCCAAAGCGATACGGCGCACCACTTCAAAAATCACTTCCAATATACAAACCAGAATACTCCGTATGTTTTTAAAGTTAAAAATCAAATTATAAACGAAAAACCAGAATTAAATGGGTTGCCTTGGTTGCAACAAAGAAATCGAAAAAGCTAGTAAAATTTGTTTTCAAATTCTTGGTGAATGTAATTTTCAAGTACATGAGATAGTTGGATTATTTATACTTTGAAGTTGTTTTTCTTAAGTTTAAAAGCTATATGATCTCAATACTTATGTTTTTGGGTGTAAGATAGCTTTTATGATACGAAAGGGCACAAAATATATGTTCCAAAAGTTAAAATTCAAATTAAAACCGAAAAACCAGAATTAAATGAGTCGGTGCCTTTGTTGTAACCTGGTGGAATTTATTTGAAAAGATATCAAACCCTTGTTTGGTGGGAAGGAATGGGAGGAAAGCAGAAGAATGTTGTGTCATTGGGTTAGTTCGAGGGAAGGTTAAGAAAGGAAAGTGGAGACGCTAGACTCTTCCAAACTCGACATATCTCACATTTACCAATTTGGTGTATTTCAGAAGAGTTTATTTATTGTTAATTTTCATTTCACCTTTTTTATCAAAATTGCCCTATATTATTATTATTGTTATACGTATACATTACTTCGCATTATGTAGTATATTATAAAAACAAAAAACTATAACAAATATAAGAAGAAGAAAAATTCTATATATTTTTTATAACAGTAATTTCTCCTCGCTCCATTGAACATATATAAACAACTTTTTATCGTCAACCATTTTCCTCCCATCCCTTCCCTCCAATCTTTTTGGGCAAAAGGCTAAGAAAATCTTATAAAATACGTCTCTGCAACCAAAATATAGCTTATTTCAAAGCGCGGAAGCTAGCTTATGGTGTGCTAAAACAGACTAAACAACATTCAATTGAATGCACACATAGATCGAGAAGCAAAGATGCTTCAAACAACTTGAAAGTTGAGAAATCTTACCAAATACTTATGGTTCTCCTCAAGAAATGGTGAAAATGTTGTGCAGAAGTTGTTTATGTCATTGTTAATATTACCAGTCCCGCCGATGACATCCATAAATTTCTTCCTTTCTGGAGCAAGCTTCATAGCAACCTGTGAGCAAAAAGTCAATTCAGAGCATAAAGTTCTGTCTGGAAGGAAGTTTAAATAAATAGCATCTAAACCATTTATGCTGCTATGAGATTATTATTCCATGGAGCTATTCTGTTTTGTTTTGATAATTTATTGTGAAAACATTAACTCTCTCCATCCATTGAAGAGCTTCTCACTATCTTTCGTTTGAAAGAGAGTAATACCACTTGAAACTTGGTTAAATTTGTTTACCTTAAAAGCGGAGCTAGCAATCCAGCCATGAAATTTTTCCAAGGTATGGGAATATGAATCTTTGCAAGCGTCTGACATAGTGCATTCGGCATCCTTTAATAAATTTGAGAACAGTTTCACTAAGAAATCCATTGCCCTACAGAAGTTACAATATAATGCTCTCAAGAACTTCGCTATTAATTAAATCCTAACAGTGAGGAAGCGGTCCAACTCAGCTGGTCGCCGACTCACTCTCCCTTATGAAAGGTCTCGGGTTCGAAACTCAATGGAGTGAGTTTCAGCCTAGTTTATTCAAGGCCCCCAAACCCCCTCCCCCAGACGCCCCTGGAGTATTAAAAAATAAATAAATAAATAAATAAATCCTAACAGTAGTCAGTAAATATGAATTTAGATCAATATGGTATCACATAAACAGAGCTATCTAGTATCCTCAAAATAAGCAACAAGTGATAAGAAAAACAAATAGGAAGTGGCACACTACTGCAAGACCTGGTCAACC